ATTTTTAACATTGTTTTGTGGAGGAAAGGCAAAGTATCTGGGGCCCATGGACGTCATAAGGCAACCCTGGGTCTTCTGTCCCACCTCAAGCAACCTGCTGGAGCCCTCCTCTTGGACAGGTGTTGGGCAGCCTCATTTCAGCCCAAGCGGCCAACCCAACTTCGTAGCTGGAGGAAACCACCAGGGTGGCCCACTGCCCCAGATCTGATTCGGTGTCACGTTGAGATGCTCTTTGTGGTCACAACTGTGTTCCTGGATGGTGGCTTTCAGCCACCTTTCCTTCCCCCTCCCCAGAAGGTATAGCTCCTTCCTACCCACCAGGAAGAAGAGGGGGTCTTTACTGGTGGCACAGTTGGTAGCAAGCTGAACTGCAGTGTGAGAAACCACATGGCTGACTGTGGGTTCAGATCCCCAAGTCAGTCTGAAAACATGCAAGTGCATGTGTGGGCCCAAGATTCCAACGAGCTGGAGGGCTGGGGAGAGGAGATTGTGGGGTGTCAAGCTTCTGCTGAGGGTGCTTCTCTCTCTCCTGTACATGAGCTCTTACCATGAATGAACTAAATACAACAAAAAAGAGGGCCTCCCTAGGGCCAGAAATCTGAGAAGTTTGGTGTCTGTGTGCCATGTGACTCTGCCCCTTGACGTGCTTCCCTGTGAGGGTCTCTTGTCTCCCACTCATCTGAGAACCCCTGGTCTTTTTTCTTTTAATTAGGTTTTAGACTTAGTGTGGGTGCACTTGCTAGAGAGAGGGAAGGAGACAAAAATAGTGAGAGGAAAAGTGAAAATCATCCCTTGGGGAGGGATGGCCACGCCTCCATCTCTTCTTCTCCATTTTCCTCCTGGGATCTTGGGTAGACACACATGCTCCCAGTATGATTTTCAAGCCACCAGGTCCTGGACTCGAACCACAGTTAGCCATGAGGGAGTCCAGTGAGGTAACCATTTGCTGGCCTTAGACAATGGGTCCTTTAATAGAATGGCACCAAACCTTGCAACATGGCTCCTTCCCTCACCCGCTTCGATGAAACCCCTTGATTGGAGGCATTTTGTCACAGCCCGAGTTCCCACAGACGTAGGGGGAAGACCTCAGCCCGCCCAGGCCATTTTGGCAGGCTCTTCCGGTCTGCCTGTCTGGCTTGCTGGCTCCCCAGGGAGGTTCCACAGCAGCAGAGGGGACAGGGGGCAGAGGGCACGCTTACTCTCTGGGCTAGTGGAAAGGCCACTTGGCCCTCATCCTGGCCCTGGCTTTTCTCTGAGCAGCTTTTCACTCTGAGTCAGTTGCATCGTCTTTCTTTTTTCATCTATAAAGTGGGAATCAAAACCCCTCACCTCTTACTTCGTTGGAGCAATTGAAACAGTGTATGGCAGGCTCGTAGGTCACCAGGGAATTGTGGGCCTGAGGGAGACCATTAATGAATGCTAAGACACAACCTCGTCTAGCCCTTCCAACTGCTCCTGCCTTCCTCTGCCTGCTATCTTTCCTTGGTATTCACAAGGCCCTTCCATGTTGTGGGACGCATGTGCGCATACGTGTATGTTTGGTTTATTCATGGAAGACAGTCTTCCCTTACCTCCTGCCTGTAGACCCAGTAACCTGTAACCTACTCTCATACTCAGAGAAGCCATATCAGTACAGATGGTGAGGAAATGCAGGCTTCTAGCATTTACTATTGGGATGATGTGTTTCCTAGTATTCAGTAACTCAGAACCGCTAAAGCAGGACTCAATTACCCCGAAGTCTCTTCTTCATGTTGACGAAGTGCTCGTTAAGACTCCTGTCCACTATCTCCCCTACTTTATTTTGACCTCCGTTTATTGCCTTTTTTTTTTAAATTTTTGCTATAGGGCACATGCGTTTGCTGGAGATAGACATAAAGGGAGAGAGAGGGTAAGTGAGAAAGTGCCCCCGAGGGGGATGGCTACGCTGCAATCCCTTCTCCTCCAGTCTTCTCTTGGGATGTTGGGCACACACACCCTGTGTTTTTCATGCCACCTGATCCAGGACTCGAACTGTGCAGCTGGCCAGGTGGGAGCCAGCCGTCTTAACCTGCGCACCATCTGCTGCCCCCATTTCTGCTCTTAATTCTTTGCATTCTGGAACAAAAATGTGGGCTAACAAATATTTTGTTTAAAACATTATCCTCCTCATTTACCCAACCCGTGCACTCTGGCTACACCTGTGCAGTGTCGCAGTGGGGTGATGCAGTGACGGGACAGGAGTGAACCCCACACACCATTGCCAGACTCCTGGACTGCCACAATGATGGCCAGGAAAGACTGAGGGGGTGGTTGCTGAGTCGCCACCCTGAGGAGCTAAAAGACCGGCAAGTTCTAGCCGGGATGCACCCCTGAGGGGAGCTGTTACCGGGAGGCAATGTCTCCAGTGAGTTGCCCTGGGAGAGATTGTGCAAAATAAGGGACACGTCATCACAGGAAAGTAAATCACAGGGCCCTTTTGGGAGGCTTTGAAGAAAGACTCATTGGCCAACTGGGACTAGGGAACCACTTGCTACTGGCTTTGGAAGTTGTGAGGCCTAAGTCTCAGCCTCATTACAATGAGTCACTCCGAATGTCACAGTGGTGAATCGGGAAAATGCTTAGGTTTAGGGGTTGCTTAAACATGCAGCAAACCAAACCTTCAGGGCGAAAGCCATCTTCTCCAGGACCGGCCTTATCCTACCCCCTTGGCTAAGTCGGCCATTCTGGGGGCACAAGCCTCCCTCACCCATATTCTCCTGGACCAACCCCTTCCTACCGTTCCCCAGGCCCTGGACTCCCCCTATGAGTCCAACTGCGGCCAAGCTATGGGGAATCTTCGCATTAGGTCAGGCCTGGGCAAGGAGCTCCTTGGAGGCTGAGGTGCAAAGCCTTGGGGAAAGATTTCCTTTGCTGAACACACAAAGAGCACAGATTCAGGCATTTTTGGTTTTGGTATTGTTTATTTTTTTTAAACCCACTTGTAGTTTGGGTTCGGCTGGAAAGCAGGACATACTGATGAAGAGAGGGTGGGCGCTCGAGCTCGAGCCTGCTGTAGCCTTGGCGGGAAGCCCCAGGCCCCTGCTCCAGGGAGGTAGGTCCTTTCGTCGGCTCCCAGCTGACTCAGGTGAGTGGTCTGCCCTTCCAAGCAAGTGTCCCGAGCAGAGGGAAGTAATCTCCCTGATCCGCGTCACAGAAGCTCAGCCAGAGGCTTGCCAACACAGTGCCCGGCAACAGAGGGACACTTCTCCAGGGACAGGCCCCGGGAGTCTGTCTGACAAGTGCTCCAGGGAGGTAGGTCCTTTCGTCGGCTCCCAGCTGACTCAGGTGAGTGGTCTGCCCTTCCAAGCAAGTGTCCCGAGCAGAGGGAAGTAATCTCCCTGATCCGCGTCACAGAAGCTCAGCCAGAGGCTTGCCAACACAGTGCCCGGCAACAGAGGGACACTTCTCCAGGGACAGGCCCCGGGAGTCTGTCTGACAAGGAACACTGGCGGCTCCTGATGCCAGATTACAGACTGAGACTTGGCTTCTAAGAGGCTTGGGTCTGAATGGCCCCAAGGGGTTGCTCTGTGGGGATTTCTTGCTTTTTGTCTCTCTTTCTCTCTCTGTCTGGCAAGCACACGCACCCTATAGCAAAAATCTCTCCAAAAACAAAATAAAATAAAATAAAATAAAAATTAGAATAAATACCGACTCGGCCAACATTACATTTACACGGTGGACAGGATGATCCCCAAACTGTAAAGGGTTACACACTGGTTAAGGAAGGACAAATGGACAAAACTGGGATGCACAATTCCCATGGAGGACAGTGGAGGCTCCTGGCCTTGTCCAGGGGAGGTGAGGGGCCTTGTTGGGCTGCGGTCCCAGGGCTTGGGCAGAGCCACCAGGCCGTGGGGAGCAGGACTGCGGCAAGCAGGCCATGGGGAGGAAAACAATGACAAACTCATCCCTCAGGCAGGGGGGAGTGACGGCGACAGGATCAACATGGGATGGCAGGACTGCGACTCCTCAGTGCACAAAGAACCACGGGTGAGGAACGAGAACAGCGCGAGCCTTAGAGATGCGATATCCAGTTTTGCCTCCCATCAAATACATTCAGAGGTCAAGTTGGATACGGCCTTCCTCACTCAGCAGAGGGGACCAGGCCTGGGGGGCATGGGCAGGAGTCAGGGGCACCCACTTCTGCCCCTCGGTCCTGTCTGGGTAGTCTCCCTTAAGAAGTTTCCTTAGAGTCTCAAATTTTAGGCTTTACTGTTAAAAAAAATTGTTTTTGAATGTTTTCCTTCCCTGTCTGAAAAAGTAGCAGCAACCTGCATTTAGAAAAACAGCTTAGAGTGTTATCCGGATTGGCCAGGAAGCGCTTTCAAGCAATGCAATAAACTAGGCAAACCATACGTCTGGAGCGGGAGCAGGACTGCGGCAAGCAGGCCATGGGGAGGAAAACAATGACAAACTCATCCCTCAGGCAGGGGGGAGTGACGGCGACAGGATCAACATGGGATGGCAGGACTGCGACTCCTCAGTGCACAAAGAACCACGGGTGAGGAACGAGAACAGCGCGAGCCTTAGAGATGCGATATCCAGTTTTGCCTCCCATCAAATACATTCAGAGGTCAAGTTGGATACGGCCTTCCTCACTCAGCAGAGGGGACCAGGCCTGGGGGGCATGGGCAGGAGTCAGGGGCACCCACTTCTGCCCCTCGGTCCTGTCTGGGTAGTCTCCCTTAAGAAGTTTCCTTAGAGTCTCAAATTTTAGGCTTTACTGTTAAAAAAAATTGTTTTTGAATGTTTTCCTTCCCTGTCTGAAAAAGTAGCAGCAACCTGCATTTAGAAAAACAGCTTAGAGTGTTATCCGGATTGGCCAGGAAGCGCTTTCAAGCAATGCAATAAACTAGGCAAACCATACGTCTGGAGCCGCCGTGACACGACACGTAATTAAAAATATATTTATATATGTTTACATATTTATATCTCACTTCTTCACACTCTAGTCCTAACAGCCAAGGAGGAGTTGGCCTGAGGCAAGATGGAGGAGGGCCCCCGTGATGCTCACGACCTGCCTGTCTCTGCTTGTGGGGAACACCAGCTCCTCCCCTCACAGTGTTTGGGAGCCCCCTTCATGAACCTTGTTCTCTGACCCCAAGATCTGGGCTAGGAGATCCTACTCCGCTGCCGCTTTTGTGCCCTGAGTCCCTGGTCCCAGGCCTCTCTCTTCTTCTGGGCCCTGCTTTGTTCTTAGCAGATTTGTGTAAACACATGCGCACACATGTGTCACACACACACACACCCCGCCCACACACACACGAGGGAATCAGGGCCCATTTAGTCCCCACTACGGCTCTTGAGGGCCGTCTGCCTGGCTAGGGCTGCTCTACTCCATGAGAGCATGATTTTCCTGGTGCCCTCCTGAGCGTCCAACCATCAGCCCTGCTCTCGCTCAGGGTCTCCTGCCGGGTTCTGGCATTTCCAAAAGAGCCAGGCTGGGCCCAAGACGCTGGCAGAAGAGGAGAGGCAGGAAGGAAAAGCTTGAGAAAGCTCTGGAACAAGGGCTGGTGGGGGTGGGAGGGAGGAAGAAGGCAAGGGCCAGGCAGCATGGGCTTCCTGGCAGAGGCCACTGGGCTGTCAGTTAACTCGTGCCCTCCACACGTGGTCCTCAGCAGGCTCTTTCTGGGAACTGGCACAGGCTCCCATCTTGGGGCTGGAAGGCAGCTTGCAGCTAGTGGGGAAATCCAGGGAGAAATGGAGACCCTCATCCCCACCCTGCCCTGTCTGCTCTCCTAGATGCGGAATCAATGAAGAGGAGTCTTCCTTACTCACCAACTTCCCTACCCCTGGTTAGGCTGGGGTCTTCAAGGTGACTTTGGGCTTGACCAGCCTCAGCAAAGGATTGACAAGGAAATTGCTGGGCTGTGATGTCATTTTCTGAGGACCCATCAAAGCAGGGGCCCACGACCCCAGTCATGATCCGGAAGCCAGTCTCCCGGAGTGTGACCTGTGCTTCCCTTCGGCCCTCACCAAAGGCTCATGCCCAGGACCAGGGCCTTCCGGGAGGCCCAGCCTTGACTCCAGCTTGGAAAGCTCCACCTGGCAGCCCCACCTGGTCAATGGACTGCCCCTTTCAGGACTCAGTGAATCCCTCCCTTTCCAAACACAACGGGAAGGCTGGGCTTTAGGATCCTGTCTGGGATGAGGCCAGGGCAGGACATAGCCCATGAGCTAAGTAAGACTCGAAGTCCTGGGGACCAGGCAGCCCCTGCCCTGTCGTCCCTGTGGAGCGGGGAAACACGACCCAGTCCGTTGCTTTTCACTGCCAGCCTTGTCCTGCGTTTGTCACAAGGCCCTGGGGGCTAGGGCTGGGTTTAACGCAGTCCCAGCGGCGACAGTATCAGCCCTTTGAGAGCAGGCAATGGGAGTAGGAGAGCTGGAGGCCGGTGGCCAGGAACACAGGATTCCAGCGGGGACCCCCGCCGGGGCAGAAGTTTCCAATTACCCTAATTGGCTACTGGCAAGCTGTCTGTGGCTAGAATCCTTCCAGAGGGGGCCGGGTTTGATCTCCCACTAATCAGGAGGTCCTCACAGTGCTGACTGTGTGATCACATCCCCGGCATTTTCATTGAGAGAAGAGACATCAAAGCAACCGACTTTTGAAAAATAAAACACAATACAACAAAAGAGTGCAAGGATGACTGCAAACTCCAGCCCTGCTCGCCCCCCAGGCCTGAGGCAGGGGCCAAAGGGAGGAGGCATTAAGTTGGGAGGGTGGAGCGGGAAGGTTAGGGGAAAACGCCTCCCCCAGCTCGACCGTGGCCCACAAAGGCCATCAATTACGGGCGGCTGGTGGGGACCGTGCCTGCCTTTGTGCTCCGGGACATCTGCTACACGTCGCCTGCTGCCAGTTGGCGACTGCGGCTGACAGCATGCGGGAACAATGCGAGCCCCCCGTCTCCGACCCACTTTTTCAGCCTGCTGAGGTCCTTTCTGACCCAAGCGGTACCCTGGTGTGCAAGGCTGGCGAGGTCTCTGCGGAGCTGCAGAGATGAGATTCCTCGCGAAAAGCTCTGCGGGGGAAGGGTTTGGTGGGAGGGGGTAGGGAGGGGCGGGAGCGAGGAAGGTTGCCGGCCAGGGCCACCGTGAAAAGAAACATGCTTCCCTTATTGGTGTGCGCTGCCGCATGCTCGGGCTGGGGGGTGGGGGGTGCTCCTCTTAGGGATTTGATCCCTTCCCCGTCTGGCTCCAGACTGGCCACCGGCTCTGCCTGCCCTCCTTCCCATTTCTTTCTCCCGCCAGGGCCACCCCTGTCCTCCCGCCTGTCCATCTGGCCCTGCGCACCAGGGCCCCAGCTGCCCCCGGGCTGCCCGCCAGGACCCCTGGCTGTCAGGCTGTCAGTTTCTGGATGGTTCTGTTGTAGTACTGCGTGATGGGGGGTGTCAGAGGGTTCCAGCTGTTGGCATGGAGCTCGATGACCTCCAGGAGCAGCGACCGGGTCAGCATCGACTCCGAGGGGCACAGCATCTTGTCTCGGGCGCTGGCCAGGAGCTCCGTCATCATCTCGGGCAGCTGCTCCTCTAGCAGCCTGCCTGTGCTCTGCAGCTGCGGGCAGAGCGGGGGGGGGGGGGTTAGGACGAGACCCGGCCCACAGTGCCCCGGACCACCTGGGTTAGGTGTGCTGAGGGCTGGGACAGAAAACTGCTGATTGTCTCAGGGCTACACCATGGGAAAATGAGGACAAGGAGGGGAGGACTGTGGGAACCGCCAACTGTGAGGTCCCACTTTTAACAGCTGATCTGCCGGCAGGAAAGACAGGGACCAGAAAACTGCCTGCTGTCTAGGGCTGAAAGAACCCTGACCAGGAACCTGGCTCTCGCCTCCGCTCCGACAGGAAGCCTTCTCTGACTACATGCGCTCTGTCAAGCACCTCTCGGGCTGACCTGGAGATCAGATGGCACCGTGTGGATTTTCACTTGCTCGGGTGTCTCCCTGGAGGTCTGCTCAGTCACTTCTACCTGCATGTGTCCCTGAGGAACCTGAGCATGGGGATGCAGTTTCCCGTTTCTCTCTTCCTGTTGCTCCTGCCCTGAGTCCTACCTTTTGGCCCTCAGAACTGACCTCTGCCCACACTTGTGACATAAAAGAGAGGAGAGAAATACGAACTGGGGCAGAAGGCCGTCAGAGGACCTGTCCTTTAGAACCCCCGATGATACCAATAAAACTGGATGGGAAAAAGGAGCCCTAATCTTCTGTATCGGAGCACCCCTAGCTTCTGTACTAACGTATCCCGCAGCCTTCTCCATATAACCTCAGTTCCTATCTCTGCCCTGCCTGGCCTTGCCACAGCCATTTTTCAAGGCTCGCCTTCACAAAGGCTTCCTTGGCCTCCAAGCCCTCCCTGACCTGTTGCCTTGACTTCTCAGGGCTGTGTGCTCTGTACCCACCCACCCACTGCTCATCTGCTCTGTGTGTGTGTGTGTGTGTGTGTGTGTGTGTGTGAGAGAGAGAGAGAGAGAGAGAGAGAGAGATATCTATCCCTACCCAGACCAGAAGCTGTCTGAGAGCAGGGACCATGCTTTCTCCTCTCTCTCCAGTCCCAGGCCCCATGTAGGGTACCCAGCTGGAGCTCAACAATAAACTGAGCTACTGTCCCACAGACCCAAAGCAGCCAACTAGGCTCCGACGTCCTTGGGTGTGGCCTTCGCAGCCTGGGCAGAAGCCACCGGGAGTTGCACTCATGAAGGCCCCAACAGGCCTGGGTCCTCATGCTGGCAGCACTCCTGTCCCTGTGCTCCTCTCTGAATGATGAAGAACTGTCCCAGGAATGGGCCAGAGCCCAGTGTCCGAAGGACGGTGTCAGAGGAGGATTGTCAATGAGCCGTGGCTGGAACTTCCACGAGTCTGCTTTGGAGTGGACAGAACCAACATAGGGGATGGAAGCTGGAGGCACCGTCCCCAACCAGACGCAGGGAGTGAGGGGTGGAGATGGTAGGTTGCCTGGCTTACCTCCATAGAGCAGCAAAGGACGGCGTCTTCCTTCACATCCTGAGATTGCAAGAGCTGTGGAAGGGAGGGGCAGAAAATGGCACTTAGGGGTGACGCCCCCTGCAGCTGGGCCACCCTGCCCTCCTCATTGCAGGCCCAGCAGGGTACAGCTTCTAACCCCATCTCTTAGGGTCGGGCTGAGCGATGGCCCACAAAGTCAGAGGGCAGAAAGAGAACTGGATCAGGAGGCAGTGATTTCTCCATGAGCTCTGAGCAGCTGAAAGACACTGAGCGGCCAAACACCAGGTACTGAGCCCCAGGTGGGTCACACACTGAGTAGAGGCAATTGCAGAGCAAGGCCAGTGTGCTGGGATCATCCAGTCAACCGCGGGTCGTGGAAAGCCTCAGGGAAATGAAATGAACTTAAAGACTTCCTGACGGGCCGCTCCCCTGTGTGCGAAGAGGCTCTGCCATAGAGTCAGGCGCCCCTGGGCCCTGGCCATGGGAGGATGTCCAGAAATCAGAGCACTCTTGTCCACTGGCCCTGCACCATCAACTTCCAAAACCACAGTTGTCTGGACTCAGTCACAGCCTGGAACTGCCTCCTACCCACGGCCATGGCCAGGCTGTCAGCCTTCGGTCTGGCCACTGCCAGGCCAGGCCTCTTTCTACTTGCCTGGCTCATTCTCTCTCTTTTTACCTTGAGATATAATTCATATAACATAGAACACATTTTTTAAAAAGGTTTTTGCCATAGGATGTGTGTTCACCAGAGAGAGAAAGAATGAGAGAGAGAAAAAGTGAGAAATCAGCTTCTGGGGGGCTGGCAACGCTGCAATCCCTTCCCCTTCATTCTCCTCTTGGGACTTTGGGGATGCACACACATCCCTTGGCATGATTTTCAAGCTGCTGAGTCTGGGATTTGAACCGTGGTTGCCTCTGTGGGAGTGTAGCACCTTAACCACCACACCATCTGCTGGCCCCAGAACTCACCTTTTTAAAGTATATAATTCAGTCCGTTTTGGATATTCATGGGGTCACATGACCATCACTACTATTTAATTTCGGAGCATTCCCATCACTCACCTCTGCCCCTCTGTAGTCATTCCTTACTCCCCCCTCAATCCAGTCCCTAGCAACCCCTAGTCCCACTTTTTGTCTCTACGGATTTACCGATGCCGGACATCTCCTATGAACACAGTCATACATAGGAGGTCTTCCGCGATTGGTTTCTTTCTAACATAACGTTCTCAGGGTCCATCATCTTGAAGCATACACTTCATTTTTATGGCTGCATACTATTTCGCTGTTTGGATATACCGCATTTTGATTATTACATGGGTTGTTTCAACTTTTTGGCTATTATAAACAACTCTGCTATGAATATTCATGTATACATTTTTATGTGGATACAAGTTTTCAGTTTTCTTGGGTAGCTGCCTGGGTAGGAAGGAAATTGCTAGAACCTACGGTGACTCTATGTTTAGCTTTTCGAGTAACTGGCTACCTCGTACTACGTTCCCACCAGTGATGCATGCGAGCTCTGGTTTCTCTGTATCCTCAACAACACTTGTGGCTTGCGAGTTTTTGGTTCATTTTCTCTTCAACCCTGAGAAGCACTGGTGTGCTGACCACAGCTGCTTCAAACTCTCTGGGCATGGCCTCCAAGAAGTTCTAGTATCCTCTTCTCCCCAGACTGCTGTCCACTCCTCCCATTGTTCCCTCTGCTGGCCAATGCTCCCTCTGATCCCTATTACAGGTGTCCTCTCAAGATTTACCCCCAAAATATTTTCCTCGGGGTTCAGTTCCATTCCCTCCTGCTACGTTGGCCATCATGGTTGTGAGATGACTTGTCTATACAGACCTTCCTGTGCCACTGGATTTCTCTTTCTAGATGACACAGTGACATTACTGTCTTTGCCTCTAAGCACTTCCCAGATCCCTCTGGCTCAAGACTGCTGCTGTTTCCTTTTTCCTTCATCGTCCATAATCAAGGAGGTTCCGGGTTCTGCTGGTTTCCCTCTGAGATGTCTCCAGAACATTTTAGGATCCCCCACCCCTTTTCAGGTTTCTGTCCTCCCTAAGAGATGAAACTTGCTGCTTCATTTGTGAGGGACAGCTGGCTTTTTGATATTTCATCCCAATCCTCATGTCCTTCCCTATGACACAGATGGCCAGAGTGGGCAGGGTGGGCTTCCTACCATGCCACTGTCCCACTTAGGAAATATGGGACACACAGGTGGCTCTGTTACAAGGCACATTCAACAGCTGCCAAAGGCCCTGGGCTTGTGTGATAGCATCGCTGAGTCCTGGGGGTCTCAGGTCAGGCCGCAGTGACCTCCTAACCCCACACAAGGGAGCCCGCTAACACTTAACTCAGGTCACCTCAAGGTGACTTGCTGGCTACAAAGAAACGCTTTGGAGCATTTCGTCTACAGAAGTCTTTGAACTACTCTGTGTAGTGGATCCTCGGTAAGTATTGAGTGAATGTGAAACGAACGAAATGATATTATGTGCGATGTAAAATGAAAGAACCACCTTCCCGTAACTCCCATAACCGAGAAGTCAGCATAGAGCGCTCGGACTGCAGGGCGTCCGCCCGGTCAGCTGTCAGAGCTTCCGGACCACACTGTGAGACTCAGCACCTGGGGGTCGGACAGTGGCCCAGCAGTACAACATGGCACTTGGCAAGGCTGAGCACCTGGGAAGGGTCCAGGTTTGTATCCGAGGCCTCCCTGAGTACACTGAGCACACGTTGCCATGATCTGGGGCTGAGGATGGGGGTGGATTGTGACACTAAGATCCTATCAGGGATGTGCTTGCTTTTTCTCTCTCCCTCTCCATCATTCTCACCCATGGAAGAAAAAAAACGAAGTAAATAAAAGTTACACAGATCTACTTAAAAAAAAAAAAAGAGAAGAAGAAAAAGAAGATTGGTGGCTCTTCTGCCTCACAACTGTTGGTTGAACACCTGCTTCAGGCCCAGCACTGTTTATGTCGGGAAGCAAAACAGCCCAGGCCCTGCTCTGGGAGCTGCCGGTGCAGAGAGGAGCCAATAAATATGTACTGCTACCTCAGATGGATAAACCCTGGGCTGATGACCGATGCCGGTAGGCCAGGGGATGAGTGTGCGCATGAGTCCGGCCTAAACATCCCCATTGTATGTATGTAGCCAACATCATGCCGTACCTCATACGTGTATATAACTGTAACTGGTCAATCAAAAACACGATTCATGATACACTTAGAAAGGTGATGTTCGGTAAGGGTGTCAGGGGCCCACATTTAGTGGCTGGGGTGGTTGGGTGGAGCCAGGGGAGACCCCTATCAGCAGGGTCTAGGCAGAAGGCAAAGGTAGGTATGTGACTTAGGGAGCACGGACACAGCCTATCAGGGCAAAGCCTGGTTTATGTGTTTGTTTGTTTGTTTTTCTTTTAATAAAAGTTTTTCATTCATTCAGCCCATAAGTGAGAGACAGTGAGAGGGAGAGAGTGAATGAGATAGCACCCCCAACGGTGACCTGAGGCTGCGGTCCACCCACACCTCAGCCAGCCTAGATCGGGGGTGCACATGTGTCTGGCATGCTCTGGGAGGTCTCTGGAATCGAACAGGTAATCTGTGGGTCTGCCTCACAGAGCGTTTTCCCATTGCACCCCGGGCTTATGTTCTAAGGGGACCATTTGGCTTGCTTTGGGGGTGGGGGTGCTGGGAGACGGGCAGACATAGCAGTGCCTTGGCCTAGAACAGCAGGGGTAGGTAGTGAGAAGAGTCAGGTTCGCACACGTTTGCCTCTGGAGCAGACAGGGAAGGGGAGAGAGGAGAGAGAGAGAGAGAGAGAGAGAGAGGGAGAGAGAAGAGGTAAGGGAGAAATAATAACTTCTGTTTCAGGCCCTGCCTGGCTATGAAGCCACGGGTTTCTGCAACCTCCCTGTATCCAGGATAAAAGCCCAAATCCCATAGCTGGCGCTGGGCCCCAGTATCTTCTCATCCTTGAGGCCCCCATCCCAGTATCCACATTCTCTCCATCCTCAGGACCAGTCATTTCCCAGCTGCTCCTTAGAATCTTCCTGCTTCTCACACCAAGGTCCTCCTGGCTTGAGCACCTACTTCGTACACAGGAAAGGGCATTTTCCAGTGTAAGCTGTCAGCTTCCTGAAGGCAGGGGCTGCACCACACTCGCCCTGCTGCCCTTCAATACCCAGCACAGTACCTGCAAGGGAGGGGCGCGCCACTGAATGCTGTGGGCATGGGTTACATATGGTTCTTTTGCTTTTCTTTCTTTTTCATTTTGCTATAGGACATATGCAGTTGTTGGAGACACAGAGAGAGAGAAAGTGAGAAATCATCCCCCTGACCCCCACCATAGGGGAATGGCCATACCACAGTCCCTTCTCTTCCAATCTCCTCTCAGGATTTTAGGCATGCACACATGCCTAGCATACTTTTTAAGCCACTGAGGCCAGGACTTGAACCACATAGTTGGTCATGTGGAAGCCAGTGCCTCAACCTCCATGCCATCTGCTGGCCCTCTTATGCTTTTTTAAGAGAGGTTTTTGCTATAGGGCGTGTTATACGCTTGCCAGAAGGACAGGGAGAGACAGAGAGACAGGAAGAGAGAAATCGCCCCCCGGGGAGGGGGATGGCCACACCGCAATCCCTTCTCCTCCTTTCTCCTCTCAGGATCTTGGGCATGCACACACATGCGCCCGGCATGAGTTCAAGCCACCAGGTCCGGGACTCGAACCGCGGTCGACTACATGGGAGTCCAGCGACATAGCCATTACGCTAACTGCTGGTCCCCTCTTATGCTTTTATAAAAGGAAGGGTAGAGGGTGAAAATAGAGCACAAGAGGAAGGTGTGTTGAAGGTGACCCAGAGCTAGAGCCAAAGTTTTGACCGGGGCATGATGTAGTCTAGGAGTGGGGAGATTACACAACCAGGGCTGGGCCAAAACGCAAACCCACACACCCCTTCTGTCCTGGTGTATCCATCTGCCCAGCCCAGGGCCCATGCAGGGGCTGAGGACCCAGGGCTCAGGTGCTGATGCCAGGTGACTGTGCAGACTGTTCGGGTCG